TTTGGCCCGAATTAAGCTTAATTTAGGCCGAAAATTGAAATTACACCCCTGCGCGTTATTTCGCGGTTATACGGTAAACTCTTTGAATTCTACGTAACAAAAATTCCTTGCAAAATTTACAATAAAACTGTTACATTACACCTAATCTTAACCTATGGCTACAAATATATTAATCCTTAAATATTTGTAATTTTAAGATATATATTTATTATTATTAATACAGTATCAAATAATTTATTTTTAGCAGGTTCAATATTGACAAATTTTTAAAAATTATCCATTTAACTCCACAAATAGTCTCCTCCAAGACTAATATTGAGACCCATGGCCGCAAGTCTTGCTCTAGCCTTTTCATTAAAGTTTCGCTCTCCAGTACCAATTTCAATCGTCGCACCGAGAAGCGTGTCAATCCCAGCTGATTTGAAATCTGTACGAGCTTGAAGATAAGGAAGTATGTATTTGATATCTACCTTGGCAAGATATCCTTCATTAAGTACAGATTTCAAAATTTCAGGCTTGACAATAAATAAATTGCCAAGTTGACGAAGCATTTCAAATCGTTCGTCTAACTGAGGAATTTTAAAAAGAGTAATAGTTTCTTGATATTTAGCAATGTCCCTGTATTAAATAATTTGTTGAAATATCAGCAAAATATGAAAATACTTATGATACACAAAAGAATTAGTGCTTACTTTGTTAAAACTAAACCACCAGCCGGACTCACACTAAACTTTTTGAAATGTTCTAATAGCATGCTGTTATACATATGAAAATAAACAGATAGACAGATAGTTAATTGCGTAAATAACATTAAATAATAAACTTTTATATAATAAATAAATCACCTGTGAAATGAATTTCCTATTTCAGTTAAGAAATGTTCCATATTCTTGCTATCAAGGCACCTACTAACATTTGCATGAACCTTTTTTAGACATTCAACACAATTATTGCAAGGCTATAAATTATAATATTGTGATAAATAAATAATGACAAATGAAACTTTATAACGAGATACTTTTAAAGTAAACACGTACCGCAGTTGCTAGACTTGCAATCACGTCATCCTCATCCCTAGGTCGAAAATCGACTTTTTTCTGACGAGATAATAAATAATTCAACCTCGAAATAATAGCTTTTAAACAAATATAAAAAGTACGAATAAATATACGTATATATACATATACATAAATTAAATAAATGCCATTTACCATCGATCATTTTTTGTACAGTCGAATTGATTTTATTTTCTACACCCATCATAAATCTATTTTTATCAGAAGTAAGGTCGCGATGCATAGTCAATGACGGAGAAGCCAAAGGAAGCTACATAATAGATAATAAGCATTTAGTTGTCAGACCTACATGAAAAAATAAATAAATAAATGATATATAACTTACAATTGCAGATTGAAAATGATTTTGTGCTAAATGTATAGTATCTCCTGCGACCTTAATTACAGAAAACGATTTAAAATAAAGATCTGATTTTGGATCCATCACGGAAATTTGATCAAGACAACTAATCATTAAAAATAACGTCAGTTAGTCTTAATTATAAGCCATCATATAAATATGAGATTAATATATTACGTGTCCAAAGCAGTTTCAACATATTGCTTTCCGATATACTCTAGAAGGACATAAAACAGTACTCCCGCAAATTTTGGCCTTTAAAAAATAAATTTTCATTAATAAAATAGCTTATAAAGAGCTAAGCAGAAGTAAAATCGTTTACTATTTACAATTCGGTAAATGGACTAAGCTTCACAGCACGCCTTATTGCTTCAGCATGTATTTTGAGAATCAACATGGCAGTATTAATTGACAAGTTTCCATCATCCTCAATGGTCGGAACATCCATAATATTTGTATTAGAAGATAATGTTATCTGATTAAATGCTCGACCAAGCAAGCTACCTGCACGTAATTGTTTTTGTTGAGTCTAATATAAAAAGATGCAGTGAAATTAAAATTTACATGAAAACTTGATTAAATCATAAATATATTGAGACCTACATGATAAGCTGTAAACTGCAATAGTAAGGATGAATATAATTCTCCTAATGATTTTTTTTCCTTTTCAATATAACGATCCCCCTCGGTATATGGAACAAATAAATCGCGAATACATTGCTCTAATATTTCAGCAATGGTACCACTATTTTGTTGTGATGCATCATTTGCATCCAAATAGCTAGTATCAGATAAACCTTTCTGACGCATATCTAAGCCTTCCAAGTCTTCAACGAGTTCTTTTGTCGCAGTATGTGCAGCTACCAAACTACGTAAATAAGCTAAAGTTGAATTACTTTCAGCATGTGACAGAAGACTTTCGAGATAAGTTTGGATCTATTCAAATAAATAAAGTTATCAGTAAATTTTTTAAATATTAGTTACAGTATTAAAATTGAGTTTTTTTTTTCATACCAATTGAGCAAAAATACGTTGTAAGAAAACTTGCATGACTCCAACCGGATCAGGGAAAACAACATTTATGATTTGAGCCTCTTGATTAACAGTTGTTCTAATCTCTTGATAAAGATTAATAAGTCCTTGATCGACGGGTGGGGGCGGTACCTGAGGATTTGGTAAGTCATTCCAACTTCCAAATGTACAGACTAAGTTTTTTTAACTTGATCAAGCCTCTCATAAATGTAACCAATAAAATTGAAAAAGTAAATACCTTGAACTTGTCAAAAATTCGTTTGATTGACTAAGATTTACTTTTGTGATAAAAAATTCATGCTGATTAACGTATAATTTTACGCATGATTCACAACCATTAAATTCTTGAAGGATTTTTGCGCAATTCTAAAAAAAAAAAATTCACAATTTAAATTGGAAGTTTAAATTTTTAAACGATTGATAGATTGTCACAAAAAACAAATACATACACGCATGGTTTTGACATCCTTTTGTCTATATGCCTTATCGAATTGATCAAGTAACTCTTTCTCCAAAACTTCACAATATTTTTCGATACGCGCCCCTGCCTTTAATTCGTTTCGTGAAACAACCATAAAAACAACATTAGAAGGAAACGAAAAATAGTAAGTGATATTAAAATAATAATAAGAAAATGATAATAATAGTGAAATAACGCGAACTTACATCTTCTGCACCAGGAATATCCACTTCTTTTGCAATAATATTCAATCTTCTAGCGATAATAGAAGCCTAATCATAAATGGTTTTTTTCAATTTTTCAAGTTGAAAATTCAGCAAAAATAATACAAATTAAAATGTTTAAATGTTAAAAATAATCATTATGTACACCTTAAATTGACCTTCGGTCCCTTGTGTCCTTAAGTTTTCCAATCTTGATATGTCGCCTTTATTAAATGCCATGAAGTATTCGATTAAATCTTTTGATTCTGAAGCTCGGAGCCTCTGTCTATCAATGGTTTCTAATTGCTCCCCTATTTAAAGTTAACAAATTTGTCAGCAAAAAAATTCTAGTTCATATAATAATCAAAAGAATTTAAAATAATTAAATTGAATAAAATGTACCTATTCTAATGGCAGTGTTACCAACTTCATTAATTCTGGTTTCTAAATTTTCGAAGGAATGCACAACATCCTATAAAATGAGATAATTCAATAAATAGACCGAACTCAATAAATAAAAATTATAACCATTCAATTTCAACAAACCTCATAAGAATCCGTTATCCTACCTCAAAAGTAGTTTTAAGTTCATGTAATTTTTTACGATGACCAGCTTCAGTCAATTGCACAGTTGCTTCCAAATCCTTGCTTTGTTCGGTTACAGTTTCTCTAAGTTTAAGAAGTTCATCAATGGACCTTTCAAAGGTTCTTATGAAAGGTTTAGGATCGAAAGCTATTATAAAAAACCGGATTAATCAATTATGGTTATAACAAAGATCAAAAGATTTAGATTCTTTATACCTTTAGGATTTGCGTGTATCAATAAATTTTTTGACATATTCTCTACAAAATCTCGGGTTGTAAACTTTCCCTGGAAAAGTCAATAGCTCGTAAGTAGACGATGAAAGGGTTAATTTATAAAGTTAACAAATCAAACCTGAAACGTCTCGATCTTTAAAAGAGCTTGCATTTCAGGATCTAAGTCGTAAGGATTGGCGGTAGGCATGATTGTGATTTCTGATGACAGAAATTCTCCGTTGAATCAAAAATTTTGAAAACGCAGGTTCGTGACCTGCAGATCACATATGGGCGGATTTGACTCCAATCAATTATATTACATGATGTGATAATTGGGTTTAGAAACATTATGACGTTAATACTGTACCATAAATATATATTATAAAATTGCACACAAATTTATTACACGAAGGATAATTTTTAAGGCTTTTAATAATGCAGTATATAATTCTTCTATTTAAGAAGAAATATAATAAATTTATTAAAAATAACATAGCAAGTCTAATTAAAAAAACATGTCAAGTCTCTAAGAAAATGAATATTGAATGCTATTATTTTCGAAATTAGTTTCATAATACAGTATTTTCACTAAGAGTATTTCACTTTACACCTGTACTTTTAAAAATATTTGTTTCATAATAAAATATTTCAAAATTTTTGTCTCTTGATCTTTTACATAATTCATATATATAGCGTGATAGTCTAAAAACTTTAAAAAAGAGATTTGTAAATATGAAGGTGCTAAAAAAAATAAATAAATAAACAAAAAACAGAAAACCTGATATAAAATCTTATTTAAAAGCTAATATTTTTAGTTTCAATATCTTTTGCTTATTTCTACCTATTTCTACTCATTTCTACTCATTTCAACAAAAACTCATCTATAACCAATCTATAAACCGCAGTTGCGAGTAGATTCAAGAGAGATAATTGTTTGTGATTGGTTTAGAAATCATCTGATCGTAATATTGATTTTTAGTGTAGGACAAATTCATAATAATCACAAATTTACAAAGAACAAATTTATTTGATTGGCGCAAATTTGAAGATCTTATTTGCAAATATCACTAATAATCATCAAATAGAGTCAAATTGGCCTATATGTTTTTTTTAATATACTGTACATATTTATATAATATTATTTTATTATTATTATTAGATATTTGACCCATCATTGAACGATTTTAACATCTCTATTACTATATCCTGCAGGATAAAAGTGAATAATCAGCATCATCGGTGTAATGTAAGAATAATTCCAGATAACATAGTGGGCAGCAAAAAAAATTCGCGATCAGATGATCGTGAGCCAATCAATGTTCAATAAACTGTCTAAATCTTATAAATTTTTGTATGATAATATTATATTCTGAGGTTCAGAACGATAAAAAATCAGCTGATCGCGAATTTTTTCTGCCATCACTATGTTACCCAATAATTACAAAAATAATCATTCTAATAGTTCTTTTATGGTTAATTATAGGATGAGAAAGTACGTATCATAAAATCATTCTAGTAGCTCTTTAAAGTTAGAATTTAGTATTTAGTTTATGGATGTTTGTACTATATATTAAAATTCCATTAAGAATCTTTTTTTTTTAGCTGATATCCTATCACTAATACGTATATTAGTCTTTTAAATAATATATATTTATATTCACATGTGCAACATTAATTATTCAATATAGTACTTAAAATAATCTTTATTTTAATCTTTAACTCAACGATAAAAATAGAAACATGCACTGATGCAGTATGATACATAGTGATGTGCCATTTATATGATATCTGAAAAATTTTAGTGTACAGTACATACAGTATATTGGGGTGTCCAATGTACTATGTAGATTAAATATATGTATAGTCTCATAAAAATTACTACTATAAATTTTTTTTTTTGAGATGATCACCAATTTGATTTTTATATATCTGATATGATAACGATTCTTATATACTTTATTGATTTTTTTGTTTTTTTTTTTTTATTATTATTATATTACCCTTCAATTTGTACATATAAGCTAAGTATTACATTATTTTTGCACATTATTGTTATATTTCAATTACTGCATTACTAACTTCACTCATCACACCTCAAACCGGGTGCATGGGATATTGGTCATTCACGCGACAATAAGTTTAAAAGTATTTTGGTCGCTTCTTCTTTCCCATGCGTTTCGCACTGTCTTGTACAATTCTCACTGATCGTTTTTTACGGTCCATACGAACTTTCGAAAGTCCTAAAGTAATATTTTCTTCGTCAATATTACCTGACGAAAGTTGTAGCTTTGATTGCTTCAGGTCTTGTGTCATATTCGGGTGAGTTTTTAAGTCTAGTTTGTTAAAAAGCCCCTCCACTTGCTGTTGGTGGACTATTATGAAATAAATTCGTTCTTTAACGAATTTATATAATAATTCATAATCATAGATTT